AGGTTGGCAGTTTGAATCTACCAGCTGCTCCTTGGAAACCCCATAGGGTAATTCTACGCTGCCCCACAGGGTCGTTATGAGTCTGAATTGACTCAACAGCAACTGGTTTTGTTGATTTTTTTAACTCTTGTTAGTGTGTTAGTGCCCTGGTGGCAAAATAAACTTATATTTGCTTAAAAAATTTATAGTACTGTACAATTAAAATGGGTACATTTTTGTATGTAATTATATCTCAGTGAAGCTGATAAAGAAAAACATTGCTTATCATGATAGTTTAACTTTGAGGGACTCATTTTGCTAATAAACAATACCCAAAATCTGAACTGCTGATAATGAAAAGGTCCAGGTCTGTATCAGTCATTCAAGGATTCTAATTGTGAGCACCAAGTTGGGGCTCTGGCCAGCCTCTTCCTCTCCTGTTCCCCGTCCCCCAGAGCCACCCCCCCACCCCGCCCCGACACGCGAAGATTAATAACATACGTCTCAGGACAAGAATTTGAGATTATAGCTAAAGGATGACTGAGGTTGGCCTCAATCTCATGGCTTCTGAACCACACTGGTTCCTGCTCTTGCCCTTGCCCCTACTGCATCCCAATTGTCTTAGTTTCCTAGAGCCGCCATAGCAAAATACCACAAGTAGGTGGCTTTAAAGAATAAAAATTTATTTTCTCACAGTTTTGAAAGCTAAAAGTCCAACTCAGGATCTTGGCTGTGACAATTCATCCTGTGGGCCTCTCTCCTCGTTTCTCCTGGCTGCAGTCAATCTTTGGCATTCCTTTGCTGCTTATAGATGCATCTACCTACGTCATTACATGGCATCTGTCTTCTCCCTGTGTGTATGTCTCTCTCTCTCTGTGACTGTACTCCCATTTATAAGACACCACTCAAAAGGAACTAGGTGTAGGACCAGCTTTACTCCTCGTATGACCTCATTAACATCACAAAAGAAAAATTCTATTTCCAAACAGGATCACATTCACTGGTACAGGGGTTGGGACTTCAATTTCAGGGGGACACAATTCAATCCATGACAACAACATTGTGCCATGTAACTTCTTTGCCATTGGAGGAAAGGAAGCAAGAGGAGGAGCTTTGAAAGCGTGGCTTGATCATAGGGTTGCTCCTCAGTAGCCCCATTCCAATTGTCAGAATTCCACAGTTTCCTAGACAGCTTCAGAAACAGGGTAAAGCATAACTTGTGACTGCTTCCATCCCACAAAGCACATGATTATCTGGCCCTTGGTTGTCTCATATTTCTGGCTAAAGGCAATGGGTTGCTCTTAATAAAGCTACATATTTCCCCACTTTTTCCTGCTCTGCTTTCTGAAGGCTCACATTCGCCTGGACCTCGTCTTGGGTATCCCCTCCCTAAAGGCTGCATGAAGTATTTAACACACTCTAATTTCCTAATGTTATACAAATTAATACTTCCGTGGACAGACAGCACATGGGAGTTCCCTTTGCTCCACAGCCTCATCAACCCTTAGTACTCTCAGTCTTTTTCATTTTAACCTTTCACATGGTGTTGAGAGTGTACATTCTTTTCATTTCTTGGACTTTGTGCCCATGGATACATTAAACCTTCCAAATTAAAATTGCCTACGTACGCTGAACCGCAAACTAAGGCAGGTGGCCAGGCAAAGGACTGTTGAATCACCTTCAGGTGTGAGAGTCCATTTCTCATGTGGATGCTGAAGTGTGGACATTTCCAAGATATTTTGAGAGTATGTGAGGACAATGGAAACTGATGTCTGAAGTCTGTAATGTCCTGTAAACTTGGATCTTTTCTATGATGCTAGTTTCAAACTAAAGAGCACATGTAATGAGGAGTCATCCAGAACTGGAACCCAGGGAACTTGAGAACCTGACATTGGACAAGTCATTTCCTCTGCATGGTCCTCAATTTCCTCACTGGTAAAAGGTGATGGGGGTTGTGTGGGGGCTTGGGGACTGCTAGATTTCCGATACTGTTCACATCTCTACAGTTCGGTGCTATCTTTTGAGACGGTGAGGCAGGCACTCTAACCCTATTGTCCAGATGAGGAAATGGAGGCGCAGAGAGGTGAAGTGACTTCCCCAAAGCCACAGGACTCAAGGTGGCAGGGTTAGGAGCTGATCCCAGGTGCATTCCAGAAGTCCTCCCCTCTCAGATATGTGTGAAGTGTGAGAGGGCATGTGTACCTGCCGCTTGTGCACTGCTTTCTCCACTCCCACTTTCTGCCTGCTTTCATGAACACGGCTTCTCACAATTGCTCAGGGAGCTGAGCAGGGCAGGGCAGATGTTCTCACACCCATTCCTCAGGTGAGGAAACTGAGGCTCAGAAAGATGATGTGACTAAGACTGCAGCCCCACAGGACCTCAGAGCTACATCTAGTCCTGTGAGAGATGGGGACACTGAGGGCCAGAGAGAGAAAAGGCTGGGCCAAGGCCACTTATTGAGGCAGTGGCAGAGCCGGGTCTGAGACCTCAGGCATGTCGCTTCCCTCCTCTGAGTCTGTTTCCTCATCTGTACAATGGGGAACGGTAACCCCCCGAAGAGTATCCCTGAGGATAAAGTGCTTAGGGCATGACGGTGATGGTGATGAAGACGAGGGGGAGGAGCAGGCTGGCTGTCCTGGAATATGCCTAACCTGATGTCTCAGGAGGCTGGGAGGGCGGTGGCAGGCCTAGGAGGGCCCTCAGGACAGGGAGGCCAGGAGGAGTGGAGTTCCTGCTGAATGAAGGCAGATGGGGAGCGGTATGTGCAGTGTGGGTGTGTGGGTGTGTGGGTGTCAATGAAGAGTGGTGAGTAGGTGGGTGTGTCACCCACACAACAGCATGAGCGTTCGAGGGCAGAAGCAGCAGACTGCAGTGTGCAGAGCATACATCTTGGCCTCAGAGGGTCCTGGATTCGAGTCCCACCTCTGCCACTTCCTGGCTGTGTAACTTCAGGCAAGTATCTTCCCACTCGGGGCCTCAGTTTCCTCATCTACGGAATGGGCCTAATCCTCCCCTCCTCTCAGGGCTGCCTGTGAGGAGTCAGAGAGAGCAGCCTGGGCTGGGGAGAAAGCTGTGGGAGCTTTCAAGTGCCAGGCAGCCTCAGCCTTGGGCTCTTGCACATAATAGGGTCTCAGGAAACACTTGTTAAGATGAATTGTGGGCCTTTGAGGTGCGGGCACCTGTGGAAGGCCCAAGGCTGGGGGCAGGAGGGAGGCCTGCCTTGGTCTCCTGTTTGCCCTGCTAGTGAGGAGGTAGACCCGCCACTGAGGTGGCCAGCCTGACCCTCCTGTGGGACCTATAGTCTGTCTGCATTTCCCAGGGCCCTCCTCCATCCCTGTTCCTGAGGCCACCTCTCTGCTCTCGCCTTCCCTGCCCAACCCAATCTCAGCACTGCCCCCTACAGAGTATGGGCCCATGGCCCAGTGAGGCAGACCTTGGGGAAGGGGCAGGGTGGTGCAAGCCTGGAGCCTAGGAGGTGGTGCCCTCCTCCAGTGCTGTCCTTCTCTGAGGGCTGCTCTTTCCTCCTTTCCAGATGAGCTGCCCTATCTCAAGTGCCCTCTGCACACAGTGCTCAAACTCACACCTGTGGCTTATGGTGAGTGCCCCGCCTCATCCAAGGAGAGGCATGTGCCTATTGTGTACACAGCAGTGTCCTGGGAGGGCCCCAGGATGAGGGTGCCAGTCATGTTATGTGCAATTCCTCACCCCCAGGAAGAAGTCCCAGGCATCCTCCACCTCTCCCACAGTCCCACACATAACCTTGGAAATACTAAGGTAAGAAGACTCGATTTCTGTCAAAATCACAGAATGTCAGTGTGGCCAAGCAGACCCAGCACCCAGAAAGGCACAAATCACAGTGCTGGCCAACAAGGTGGAGGCCCATCCCAAGCCTGTCTGAAGGGGTGGGGTCAGGACAGGGTCAGCTTCCTGGGTGTGCAACCTGTGCAGTCAAACAGATCTTTGTGCTCAGAAGGACCCCACACTTGGTTTAATGCTCTGCTGCGCCGTCTTGAAATTCTTAATAATTTTTCAGCAAGGGGCTCAGGTTTTCATTTTGCACTGGACCTTACAAATTATGTAGCCGGTCCTGGGTCAGGATCCGGGTCTGGCTGAGGAGCCTCTTCTGGGGGGAAAGAGGCAAGAGGCAAAGGCTCTCACACTGCTGTCTCCCTCTTCTTCATACAGGGCCCTGTCCTCCCACGGTGTGGACATCGCTGCGGAACCCGGGAAAGCCCTGGACACTGTCCCTGCCCCTTGCTGAGCCCTTCCCAGGAGTCCAAACTGTCTCTGCCCTCACTGTCTTCCACCTGCAGGAGTTGCAGCCCTGTCCCACCTCCTCCAGGTATCACCCAGCCCTTGAAGCAGCCAGGACTGAAGCCTGGCCTTGGCCTCACGGGGAGAATCCTGCTTCCAGGGAAGAAGACCTCAGAAGTCTTGGTTCACAGTCGCAAGCAGTGGGCTGTCTAGCTCTGCATGGAGCTTTGTTTTTCTTACATTCTGCTCTTAGCAATAATGGCTCCTCCTCCATCCTGCTGGAGGGATGGAAATGTCATTGTGAGTTCTGCCTATTGTCCTTAAGCCAGGTCTTGAGGAGGTCTTGAAACCCTGTGGATGATGAGGGAAGTGTTCCAGGGCAGCGCCTCTAAAGACGAGAGAGCAGGATGTGGGTCCTGGTGAGTGCCTGTGGACCCTCTTTCCTTGATGGGAGGGACAGTAGGCACCAACCCACAGTCCTCTACTCCATCCCTTTCCCTGCTCCCCTGTTGGAGTCTACCTGGGGCTGCTGAGCAATGCTTGCGAGAAATCACACAACTATGTGGACCGGAGCCTCTAAAAACACGTGGTATCCACACACAGCTGGAACCTCAACACCTCTCAGCATCCTACCCATGCCGACCCACCTTTTAGGCAGAGGCGGGGCCCATCTACTCCAGACAGCCCAAAGAAGGTTCCTCCCTAAGAGCCCAACCACGTGGCAGTTCTAGTAACATGTGCACACGAAAAGGTGGCAACGTCCAGATTAATTCTGCAATTTTAATATAACACTGACATCAAAAACATGAAAGCACAAGAAAAAGCAAACAACAAAAGCAGAAAAAGTAAAGAAAGCTTCATCTTGCATGCCATCTTCAATTAACAGGTAGAAGTTGTCATGAGTGCTAGGTGAAGAAGGAATCTGAGGAGGCACTCTGGCTTGGAGAGTTAAGATTGCTACAGTTCATCAGCGGTGTCTGTGAACACAAGAAACAAAAGTGAAAACATAATTTGAAATACATTAAACAGTGAAGGATATAAATAACAGAAAGTGTCTTTCTACTCTTCATCGTTCCCCCACCCCAGGCCTCCCTCTGACATCCCACATCTCCTCCACACACACCCTCCTTCAGAGTCTAATTTAAACCAAAAACCAAACCAACCCTGCTGCTGTCGAGTCAATTCCAACTCATAGCGACCCTACAGAACTGAGCAGAACTGACTCCATAGGGTTTCCAAGGCTGTAAACTTTACGGAAGCATCTTTCTCCCGCGGAGCGGCTGGTGGGTTCCAACCACCGACCTTTCGGTTAGCAGCCAAGTGCTTAACTACTGCACCACCAGGGCTCCTTAGAGTCTGATTTATCAAGTGAAAATCTTACTGGATCCAGGAGAAGAAGTTGGCACCAGCTCTGGCGGCATTTCTGGTCCGGATGGTAGAGCTAGTGCTAGGGCCATCTAGGATGCTGGTGCTTGCCCCACCATTGGTGCCACTGCTGACACCAGCTCTCCATGTGGCTCTCCTGTTGGTGCGGTTGCTATTCAGAATGTACTGATGGTATCTGGCCCAGAAAGCAAACGGTATCCTGGCCCAGGCGTCGCCAAAATCTCCATCCTCATCCCAGGTCAGGAGTTCCACCTGTATGTCATCCCAGCTCCACCGTCCAATCAGAGCTTCATCCCCGATATTCATCTGGGCCCTCATCTGGGCCCTGGCATGTTCCTCAGCCATATCCACATCCATAGTTTTGAAAGCATCATCCACAGCCTCCAAGAAATGAGCCTTCCATTCCCGGGGGTCTCGGTTCTGATTCTGAGACGGAATAAGAGCAACCATAATCACAGAGCTACCTCACATTTGCTGAGCGCTCACTTCCTGCCATGCACCCTATTGAGCACGTTTCGTCAGAAGATAAAAATAAAGGTTACTGACATCAGGCTTCTATTATTCGGTGCCAGGCCTGGGATTTCACCCCATCCCTCACTTCTGACTGCTTCTGTGACCTTGTATAAGTTACTTAGAAACCTGTCTGAGCCTCTGTATCCTCACTGGAAACAGGAGGTGACAAGGAGGCTGTGACCCATTAACAAGCAAGGTATGGAATGTGCCTGCCTTAGTGTGTGGCACCTAACAGAGGCTCTCCATTACCTGGGCGATGAATCTCAGGACCCTCATCTTGCTGGTCTCGTGGCGGGCTCGCAGGCCCCAGAGGAATTCATACTCAGGCGGGCTGCTATTTGGGATCTTTTTGTATTCCAGGTACCTTAGTGAGAGGGGAAAATAAATTTTTGCTTCTAACCAAGCAGATCTGTTTTTCAACTAATGGGTTCCAGGTGGCACCTCCTCAAGCCTAATGCTGCAGCTCAGCTCCTGGAAGAGGATTTCTCTGCACCCAAGCTCACCCCCAGGGTTTTTGCCTCCAATATTGAGGTCTTCGGAGCCCTGGTGGTGCAGTGGTTAAGAGCTCGGCTGCTAATCAAAAGGTTGGCAGTTCAAATCCACAAGCTGCTCCTTGGAAACCCCATGGGGCAGTTCTACTCTGTCCTATAGGGTCACTATGAGTCGGAATCGACTGGACGGCAATGGGTTTGGTTTTGGTATTGGAGCCTTCAAAGCCTTATGTCATTGGTCCTACCCAGAAGCCACTGGAGGTGCAGGGGAGGCACGTGTAGGGTACTTGTTCATAGGAAGGCCACAAGTTGTGTGCCCCTTGTCACAACGAACCCGAATTCTGTTGGGTGTGTTGTACACAGAGGAGCCATTCTTCAGGCTCCCTGCTCTGAGCACACCCCACTGCAAGGGTCTCGTCTGAGGCCTGGCCAAACCCTACAAAGATCCACCATAGAAGACAATTGTAAAGGGAAGACACAGTCAACCGAGAGTGGCGTGCTCCATGCACATTCCATATTATACTCCTGGCCGTGCGTGCACGAGTGTGTATGTGTGTGGTATGTGTGCCTGTGTGGGGGTACGCATGTTTCCCAAGGACCAAGGATCGGGTGGGCCCTGGCCAGAAAATCAGGAGAACTGAGCTCCAGGCCCGAATGGTCCCATTACCAGCTGTGGGCCCTGCCCAGAGACTTCTCCCCAGGTTCCTTAGATGTAAAACGGGGGAATTCTCATAAAAGCCAATAGGGCAAGCACTAAATGAGATGGCGGTTGTAACACACCCTGCACCGTGTTCTCAATGTGTGTTCCCTTTCCCCGACACTGCCCTGGAATTCTCCTCCCCACAACTCACATACCCCCATCCACTTTCAGTATATCAGGCACCTGTCCCTCTAGTGCAAGATATGGGATGGGGAATGGCTTTCTGAGCCAGACCAGCACACAAGGAACACATGAGTGCGAGACAAAGTTAATTCAGTCAACACTTACTTCTGCTTCACAAAGTCATCTGTAAGGAGCTTCCTCAGATCGCCAAGGAATGGGTGTCTCACCCTGACAGCGAGAAAAAGAACCCACGGTTAGAGGTAGTAGCAGTGCCCAAATGTGGGCAAGAGCACTCCCTAACAAGATTGAGAGCTTCCCTGCCCATGAGGCTTCCCCGTGGAGGCCTGAGCATGCAGCAGAGGCCAGATGACTACTTGTCAGACATGCCCTATGTAGGGGTTCAAAGGGGCCCCTAACTCTGACCATCTATCTTAGATCTCTTCTGGGGACAGATAGGGGACCGAGAGCAGAGAGGGGGCCGAGAGATCAGGACCGTTTCGACTTCCACCTTGGTGAGATCCTTTGCTCTCTACTGGACCGGGACACCCCACTCCCCTGCACCAGACCACTAGGCTACTGAAATGCTGGGATCCCTTTTGCCAAGGGACAACACTGAGGGACAGGAGCTGAGAGAGGCCAATCATACCCAGGGCGCAGTCCCATCTTGCGCAGTGCCTCCCAGAGGACAGCTGCAAGGGGAGATGTAGCATGAGAATTCAGCACACGAAAATGAGACTGTGGACCTGAAAATTCAGCCACAGGTCCAGCCACTCACCCTCGCTGGCACAGTTGCCATTCATGAAGATGACGCCCAGGATCACCAAGAGGAGACTCAACCTGGGAGTGTCCTTGGTCCTAAAGGTGTAAAAAGAGAAATCCTGTCCAGCAGCCATTTGCACAAGAGACTACAGCTGGCTCACCCAACTAGCCTCTCCCAGATTTCTCGGCTAGAGGGGAAGTCTTCCCGGCGCTTGATCGCAGCAGACAAATCATTCCTCCACCTGAGACTTAATCACTTCATCCATACAATGTGTATACTAGCACTTTCCTTCCAGTGTTCTGCAGAGGGCAGGGGTAGTCACGGAACAAATGCTTGGCAAAGGTGTATCCAGAGGCACAGCCAAACCTTTCCTGCCCTCCGAGCCTCAGTATCTACCCTCAACAGGAAGCTCTCCCTTGAGGATCACTCAGCCAAACCCTACCACTCAGCAGGGAGAAGCAAGCAACAACAGGCCTGATTTCCTGGGAAGCTTCAGGAGGTGGGGAGCAAAACCCTGACCACAGCAATACCCAGGCTCAGGCTACTAGACGTTTCACCCAGTCATCACTGGGCACCACTGTCTGTGTGTGGGAGCTGTGCTAGCAACTTAAGCCCTGTTTTCCTGTTCCTCTTAGAGCATGTGGGTGGCTGGGCAGGAAAGGGGTGCCACTAAGGAAGGCCACCGCCCTCCTTCGCTTTCTTACTTTCCAAGGAGGCGAGCTGATGAGTCCCGTGTGCAGACAAGAATGTACAGGTGTTCTTCCTTGTCAATTTCCTTCAGGTGGATCCCAAATTTCTACATGGGGGAGGAAACAGAGTGTGAGATGAAAAATCCAGCCTGGGCCGCCTGCAGGCAGCCACTTGATTCCCTGTTAGAACTTTTCCTGAGTAGGGAACCCCAACTCGTGGGAGAGGGTGGAAGAAGAGAGGACATGGAGGACCTGGCTCCATGGCAGCTCTGGTACTGGCCAAGGAGATGAGACTCACTTCGAAAGACAATGAGACACTCAGAGAGCACGAGAACGGGGAAGTATGCCCCAAGCCGCCAGTGTAGTGGAAGCTCAAAGGTGGAGAGGCTAGGGAAGGCTTCTGGAGCAGGCAGTACTGAAGTTGGGACCAAAAGGGCTGCAGAGTTCAAGGCTTCCCCACTGCTTTTATTCCACCGCGCAGCTCCACATCCCTGCACCCACCTTTTCCAGAGTGTATGTTGCTCGTTCAATGATCTCTGGGAAATGTTCGTCGTATTCTCGGATGACATCCTTCAACATGTCTGCAGGAGGGGAGAGTTGGGGAGAGCTCCTGGGCTGAGCAGGGGCCACAGAGCTGCAGCCCCATGGCCAGCCCTGCTGAGGGTAGCACAGCCAGGGTCCTGTGCTGGTAGAAATGAAGGAACCAGCCATGGCCTGATGGGGTGGTGGCACATGAGCAAAAGGATGCCCAGAGGTGGGGGTGGGGGAAGGGCAGAGCTCAGGGAAGGGCACGGGTTGCCTACCTGAGCGCTTAATGGGGATCTTCTTGTAGTCCTTAATCATCAGGTACTTCACCAACTTATTTGCCTTGAAAAGGAGGAACACACGGGAGATCAAGGCCTGGGTGACTGCAAAGAACTGGATGGTGAGGGAGGAGAAGAGGGAGATGGGGGAGGGCAGGCTTCTTACTCTCTCTTGCAGAAGGGCCACATTGCGGGGTGGCAAGCACAGTATGTGCCTTGAGGGTATCTGCGACCTCAGGGTCATCGGGGGCTGAGGGGTCATCTGAGTCCTCGCCATCAATGGGGGCTGCGATGCTCTCCAGGTCGGTGGGAATGTAGGGAGTTCTCTCTCCTCCTCGCTGCTCTCATATTCGTCATCCAGGTGCTTGGACTGTGTCATTAGAGGAGAGACCCAGGGTTACCAGGCTCCCCGTGGAAAAGTGTCTGGCACACACCTTACCCACAGCAGGTACTTGGTAAATGACGGTAGTATGAGCAGCAGCTGACATGTGTTGAGCACTTACTATGTGCCAGGCACTGAACTAACCTCTTTTTCCACCAGTCTGTGTGCTCCCTGAAGACAAGAATTTCGTGGAGTAAAAACATACTTGGCATACTTGTGTTGGAGAAACATGGACAGGCTGAGAGAAGAAGAGAGAGGCGAGGAAAGGAGAGAAGAGGAGAGGGGAGAAGAGGAGAGGAGAGGGAAGGGGAGGGGGAGGGAAGGAAAGGGAGTGAGTGGGTGTGGAAATGGCAGGGAGATCTCACCTTCTTCGTCCTCTTGCCTCCCATCCTGGCCCGGGGCTCAGCACTGTGCTGAACAGTGGCAGCTGCACCCTCAGGCTCAGGGATGCTTGTGGCCATCTTGGCCTTGGCAGCAGTTGCTGACACAACATTCTGAGGCTCCACCCACCGAGTCTTGGCCAGAACCTTCCCAGACTTGGTTGTCTTGGGCTGAGCGGCTGCCACCTCCCTGGCAGATGCTGCCTGGGGCACACGAGAGGCAGCACTGGGGCCATCCATGGCAGCCTCTTGGGCCGGGGCAGGTCTCTTGGGCCGTGGAAAGGCTATGCCACTGACACCTGCCGGTTGCGTGAAATCAAAGACATCGTTCTGACCCAGGAAGACCGTCTTGGGCCTGGTGGCGTCCAGCTCATTGGCACGTGGAGCCTGAGAGAAAGCACTGGCAGCACTAGGGCCCTCAGTAGCAGCCTCCTGGGCCTGGGAGTCTGTCTGGGGCTCTGTGGAGGTTGCTGGAGCCCCAGGGGCAGTCATCTCACTGTTGGCTAGAATCTGGAAAGTCTGTGGAAAAGCAAGGGTTGTCCTAGGGGTGACTCCCTGAACCTCGACATATGTCATGGGGTGGGTATCGTTTCCTGAGGCCTGGTCTGTGGCCACTGGGTGGTTAGTGGCTGCCCTATTGTTGGAGGTGATACGGGCAGCGGCGGCAACGGCCCGAGCAGCCCGGTTGGAGGCGGCAGCGCGGGCTATGTTGGCAGCATGGGCGGCTGCCTCATTGGCAAGCGTTTCTGGATCCAGCTGCAGTGCCTCCACCAGGGTCTGGGCCAGCACAGGGTTTTCCAGTTCCCAGGGCTCATTCTGCAAGGCCAGAGAGAAGGGTAGGGGAAGGCAGGCAACTCTGCACACTTGCCTCATGCTTCCCCGTGCTGGCCAGCCTCCTCCCAGCAGACAGCCCTTCCAAATCCCCCCACCCCCTCGAGCAGGAGAGGGTTTTGGGGGAAGCCGGGCAATCCTTCCCCACTCAAACCTCCCCTAACCCACCCCCCTTGTCTCCTCCCCGGATTCACAGGGGAGAAGGCCCAGGGCAAGCAGGTGGCCAAAGGGGCCTCACCGACAAGATGCGAAAGCCTGGACCCAAGCTACCAAAGGCTCTGAGGATACGGATGTCAAAGCTGGTAAGGGTGCCGTAACCACCAAAAGCACCAAATTCTTCATAGTCGTTTCCTTCAATCATCTCTTCCTCCCCGACTCCCTGGCTACCCTCATCCATGTCTTCAACACTGTAGCCTTCTGATTCCATGCTGTAGTTCCCCTGGGCCATGCTGTGTGGCCCAAGCATAAGAGAGCTCAGCCTGAGAGGGAAGGTGAGGCGGCTTCAAGGCTAGGGGGCGGGATTCAGTGGGAGGCGGGACTTGGCGGGAGGTGGGGGCGGGTAATCACAAGGCTACTAGGCAGTAGAAAGATGAGGGGGTCTATTGGGGTGGATTCTGTCAGGCAGAGTCCTGGGAAAGGGATAGATGAGGCCAGAGGAGGCCCGCCACTGAAAGGGGAGTTTAGGATAGGCAGGATCCCCATCCCAGTGGCTAGGTGAGAAGAGGAGGCTGACCGAGGGCTTGGGTCTGAAGAGTCCCAAAGGGGATGCATGGAGAGAGGGAGAAACAAAGGGCTTGGATTTCGGGGTCTGAGCAGGGGATCAGGATGTAGGGGGAGCAGATGGGAAGGCTCAGGCAACAGGGACTTGCAGAAGGCTCTGAAAAACTGAATCGGAGGAATCGGTTTGGCAATATCTGGGTAAGGGAAGTCAGCTGGTTCCGGTCTAGGTTGGGCTCATACAGAAATGCTAGAGGCGGATAGGGTAGGGGTCTCGGACCTAGGTGAAGCTCGAATTGGAGGACTGGAGGTCTCAAATCCAAGGTACACCAGGCTAGGGACAAGAGGTCAGCTAGGCTGGAGTGAACTAGAAGTGGTTGGGGTTGGGGCGGGGCCTCCGGACTAAGAAAGCTCATTTCAGCACACAGGGGTCTGCTGAAGGGGCTCGGATCTGGGCCCCTGGGTCCAGTGCCGGGAGGGTTCCTATCTACATCTCACGTCTAATGGGGTTCTGGCTCTGCGGGATGGGGCTTTGTTACAGATCCTCTGGGGTAGGGGAGGGTGTTGGGTGCCACTCGCCCTCTCCAGGTCCTCTCTGGGCCTGGATCCTTACCTTCGCTGGGGCTCCAATGGCGCCCGTCCTCAGCACCACGAACCCGCAGCTTTGCCCTTGCCTACCGCTGCCAGCACAGCAGCTCCAACCACCCCGCCCCTTTTCTCCGCGCACCACCCCCATGCCCGGCTGGAGAGCGATGCGCATGCGCAAACCCATTTAGCCAGCTTTTCCCAGCGAAATCCCTTTTCACCAGGTCTACAGTGCGCATGCGATTTCTCTGGGGCTCGTGGTGTGGCAGGAATGGGGGTGGGGTGGAAGGGTGCTCTCCTTCCTGTCAGATTCCCCTGACCCCTCCCGCATCTGACCACAGGTGGGCACAAGCACACCCAGCAGTGGAGCTCAACTCTGGCAATCATCTACCACCAACTTCAACCTCTCCCCCTTTTGCACAGTGCTTTTCAGTCCTGTCTTTCACGCCCCCCACCCCGCCAAAATTTCTCCAGCCTGCTCCAGGATACACTATATGGCACTTCCCCCAGCATGATCCCTAAGTCACAGTTAAAGAGATCTCTGTCTGGTTCTCTGACTGCAACAAGTAAAAATCCTCAACCAAGGAGTCCTGGAATGGAAATGGCTGGAAGATGGTGGGTCCCTTTGTGTTCCTCTCCGTTATCCATCTCTATGAAGCACCTGGGAGCATCTGCTTCCTCAGCTACCCTTTATGCAGCTTGTATGTCACAGCATGATCTGTGATGGGGCTTGTTTTCCTCTCTCAGCTGCCTTGTCAAGTGAATGTCAGCATCCCCATTTTACAGATGAGGAAGCTGAGCCAGAGACAAGGTGAATGAATTACACAAGTCCACAGAGCCAGTAAACAGAAAATGCAAAATTTGTGCTTGGATCTTTCAGACTCCAAAGCCCTTGTGCCACTAGTGCTGGCCTGGGGACTGAGGCACCCTCCCCTCTTTAACTGGAAATGAGAGATCCCCCCAGTATCTGTTCTAAAAAAACAAGCTTTGTGTTCCTGGAGGCCCAAGCTCATGCTCTGCCTTCAGGAGAATTCAGGTAGAAAACCTGAGCCCTGCCCCCTGACTGCTCTATGTGGGTCCATCCAGGTGTGGGAATTGCTCCACTATTAGGTCTTTTCTTATGAGTGGCGTGAACAAGCTGTCCCTGAGGCCTCCCTGGTGCTCACTGGAGCAGCCAGGACAATCAGGCACTTGTGTTTCTGAGCCATGGCAAGCTCTGATTCAGAGTAAGGGTTTGCCCTGGTTTCTTCCAGGGCTGGGGCCTGGGGCAGCTGTGGTCTCATGGAAAGAAGCTGGACTGGGCTTCAGAATTCCTGGGGTGGAGTACTGGGACTGTCACTGGCTGTGTGAGCCCACTCAGATCACTCAACCTCTCTGAGCCCCAGTTTCTCAATATGCAGAAATGGGAAGCACAAGGAACACTTCCTGGGGTCCTACCCAAAGGGACACACATGCCACTGTGCTTGCCAGATGACTAAAAAACTCAAAAAGGTAGAAAATGATAGCCAGATGTGAGGTGTTCCTGACTCAGATTGAACCTGTTCTTTTTAAAAAATCCATGCAGTACTTTCAAACTGGATTTTTTATCAGCCTCTTCCAGGAACCCTATGTAGCAATGGAAATGATTGCTAAGACCACAGCTCTTACTCTAGTGACCAGTATCAATTCTGCCTGGCCGGATGGATGGCTTTCCCCGTCTGTTGCATACCAACCTCCCCTATCAGCTCCCTGTGGCTCTTCAGCCCTTCCTCTGTAACATGTCTTCTGTGAGACATGATCAGATCCTAGAAACAAAAGTCCTAACAAATCTGTCTATGTCAATAACTTGAAAATTTACAACACCAGTTCAAACTTCACCTTTGAAGTCCAAATCTATATGTTCATCTGCCTACATGATGTCTCTGCTGGGATGTCTCAAGAGTTTCTCATAGTTAGCCAGTCCACAACTGGTCACTTGGTATACGCACTCTTCCTACACAGTCACACGCTCACACCTCTCTCTCTCTATCTCTTTCTTTCCTCTTCACAATCTCAGTAAATGGCACCGTTATCCACTAAACTATTCACTGCAGAAACTGGAAGTCATCTGCCACCTCTCCCCTTTTCTTATGCACTGCACCCACCAGGAAAATCTCTGAAGATCTCCAGAGCCACCTCTCTGTGCAGCTCTCTCTTCTCCATTACTCCTAACAAATTCTTAACACTTTGATCTTTCTGAGTTCTCATCTCCTTCACTCAGGTTGTCCACTGTCTAAGCTGCAACCTGAAAACTCTATCCAGGCAAGAAGGTCTATGCATGAGGCAATGAGAAGTTCATCTCCTTACTTTTCCTTCTCTCAGGAATCACTGTCTTGTGTGGCCAGGGGTGTCATGCCTTAGAACCATCTATTTTATACTCTGTAGTTGTTGAGATGGAAAGGTAAGTATGGTTCTTGTTAATCCATCATGAGTAGAAGTTTAAGTATCCATAGTGTTTCTTTTCTATTTTTTTCACTGAGCCCTATGCTTTTAAGATGTATCCGCAGTGCTACACACGGACAACCCATGGTGTGTATCATGCCATTTTATCTATCTGCTTCCTCAGTGATTTACTCTTTCCTCTATGGAACAATAAAACAAAAAAAATATACAAAACTTACAGAGGTTAAAAGATATGAACACCAGCACATTGATAGGAAGCAATGCAACTCAGAAGAAAATGGTTACCATATTTAAAACAGTGAAAGAAAATTGACTGTCAGCCTATAACTCTGTACTTAATGAAGATATTTTTAAAAAAGAAAGTTGAAAAAGCAATCTCAAGATGGTGGACTAGTCAGATGCCCTAAGCCATCCTTCTGCAACAATGAAGTGAAAAACCAAGTAAAGCAGACACAGATGTCAGTCCTGGGACTCTGAACTTTAAATGAGGGGATAAAGTGTTAGATCGGAAGCCACTAAAAAGAAGAAAACGATAGAAAAAGGTGAACAAGTTGAAATACAGAGTGGAGGTTCCCGGCAAACCGTAGTACACAGCGTGGCCGTCTTTGTAAAAAGCCAGCTATCTCACAGGAAGAATGCAAGGAGGTACCTTCACAGAATTCCCAATAGGAGATAGAGGTACAATGCAAACTCATGTAGAACTAAGTAAGAACAGGATTGCTGGCTGCAGCTCAAGGTAGTGCTCAGACACTCTCACACAGAAACCACAAGAGCATGCTCCTAAATCCCCCACCCCTCTGGTGAATAGCGGCAAAAATCGCCGCATTCTGGCAGGCCTAACCGCTGGGGAGCACAGTATGAACCCACCCTATTGTCCTCCTCCATCTAGTCTCATCTGCCCCTCCCTTCAACCCCCCACCTCTCTCTCACACCCTAATGGAAGATTTCAGCGAAGTATCAGGATACAAGATAAACATAAAAAAGTCAGTTGGATTCCTCTACATCAACAAAGAAATTTGAAGAGTAAATCACCAAATCAATACCATTTACAATAGCCCCCAAGAAGATAAAATACTTAGGAATACATCTAACGAGAGATGTAAAAGACCTATACAAAGAAAACTACAAGACACTACTGCAAGAAACCAAAAGAGACCTACATAAGTGGAAAAACATACCTTGTTCATGGATAGAAAGACTCAACACTGTGAAATTGTCAATTCTACCTAAAACCATCTACAGATACAATGCAATCCCCATCTAACTTCCAATGACTTTTTTTTAATGAGATGGAGAAAAAAATCACCAACTTCATATGGAAAAGGAAGAGGCCCCAGATAAGTAAAGCATTACCGAAGAAGAAGAACAAAGTGGGAGGCCTCACACTACCTGATTTTAGAAACTATTATATCTCCACAGTAGTAAAAGTAGCCTGGTACTGGTACAACAACAGATACATAGACCAATGGAACAGAATTGAGAATCCAGGTGTAAATTCATCCACCTATGAGCAACTGATATTTGACAATGGCCCAAAGTTCATTAAATGGGGAAAAGAGTCTCTTTAACAAATGATGCTGGCATAATTGGATATCCATCTGTAAAAAAACTGAAACAAGATCCGTACCTCACACCATGCATAAAAGCTAACTCAAAATGGATCAAAGACCTAAATATAAAATCTAAAACAATAAAGATCATAGAAGAAAAACTAGGGACAATGATAGGAGCCCTAATACATGGCATAAACAAAATACAAACCATAAGTAACAATGCAAAAACACCAGAAGAGAAACTAGATAGCTGGGAGCTCCTAAAAGTGATAACGTGATACTCGTGAGGGGTGTGCTTCTTAGCTCAAGTAGATACATGAGACTAAATGGCAGCTCCTGTCCAGAGGCAGGATGAGAAGGCAGAAAGTGACAGGAGCTGGCTGAATGACAACAGAAATCCAGGAGTGGAAAGGGGGAGTGTGCTGTGACATTGGAAGGATTGCAACGGAGGTCACATAACAACATGTGTATGAATTTTTGTATAAGAAATTAACTTGAACTCTGAACTTTCACCTAAAGCACAATAAATAAATAAAATAATCAAAGGATGGAAAAAATGTATCAAGCAAATAGCAATGAAAAAAGAGCAGGATTAGCAATACTAATTACAGACAAAATAGACTTTAAGGCAAAATCCACCATAAAACACAAGGAAGGACATTATATAATGATTAAAGAGACTATCCACCATGATGACATAACCATAATAAATATCGATGCACCCAATGACATGGTTCCAAAATACTTAAAACCAACTCTAACAGCACTGAAAAGAAAAATCGACAGTTCCACAATAGTACTAGGAGACTTCAACACAACACTCTTGGTAAAGGACAGAACATCTAGGGAGAAACTCAACAAAGATACAGAAGATCTAAAGGCCACAAGCAACCAATCTCACCTCATAGATATATATATAGAACACTCCACCCAACAGCAGCAGAAGTATACATTCTTTTCCAAAACCCATAGAACTTTCTCCAGAATAGACCACAACTTAGGGCACAAAGCAAGCCTCAACCAAACTCAAAACACTGAGATAATTCAAAGCATCTTCTCTGATCACAATGACATAAAGTAGAAATTAATAACAGGAAGAGCAAGGAAAAAAATCAAAAACATAAAAACTGAATAACACCTTGCTTAAAAACCACTCAGTAATAGAAGAAATCAAAGATGTAATAAAAAAAATCCTAGAATCAA